ACATGAGCACAGCCTTCTTAATTTATTAATTTCCCAAAAGACCCTCATCGCTTTTTTCTATCCATCACACTGGGGATGGTGGAGGACCCCAACATTCAGGCCGTAGAAAGTCAAGGAGGCTGTGGGTTACTCCACTGTCCTTCATGGCCGCAGACATGACACAGGATGGAGAACTGTACTGAACCGCGTGGGGCTTGGCTCAGTGAGTATGAAACACCACGAGATGGCCCGGGAGTTCATGGTCTAGCCAAGCAGGTGACTATAAGGACTGGTCACCGAATTTAGGCTGGTGAAGACGGAGAGTCATGGGCTATGCATGGTGCCCAGGGCTATCAGAGGACACAGGCCACAAGAAGACAAGGTGGAACCTTGCACTGCTGGCCGTGGACAGCAAGTAGAACTCAATCTCGAGATTAAGTCAGTGACCTGGTTTCCTCTCACTTACACAGCTCTTGGCATTCTCACTGTTGGGGTGCAGTGAAGCCTTCCCTGACCTCCCCAGCTAATTTTGCCCCTCCCTGCTCATGACTGGGTTGCTTAAAGTGCCAGGCACTATGCTAAGATTTTTATATGTATTTTCTCATTGATTTCCCATGAGATAAATATTTACCTTGCAAAAAACTAAATCTGAAGACTAAATAATTTGTCCAAGGTCATGTAACCAAGCCAAGATTTGAAACTGGGTCTTTTCTGATTCTGGAAGCCCTCTGTTCACCTTTTCGAAAACCAATCAAAAGTGCAGTATGCTAAGGTTTTTATAAGATAAATAAGAGGAGCTGGAAAGAAAAGAAGTGATTGTAGTTAAAACTTATGTCACTGCTGTGTCACTGGCTCATGAATCAGGCATTCACATGACTCAGGATTAAATGTGCTTTTTAATATTAGGTTGAAATTTTAAAGGAGAAAATACAAGATGCTTCTTTAAGATCTTTCTGCTCTTTTGGCATGAAAATAGACACGTGGATCAATGAAACACAATAGAGGATACAGAAACAACCCCAGGCACACTCAACTGTCTGATCTTTGACAAAGGGACCAAAAATGTAAGCTGGAGGAAAAATAGCCTCTTTAATAAATTGTGCTGGGAAAATTCACTGCTCACAGCAGAATATTGAATCAAGACCTATATTTCTCATCATGTACCAAATTAAGATGGATCGAAGACCTAAATATTAAAACAGAAACACTAAATTTTATGGAAGATAAAATAGGTAAAACTCTTGAAAACATAGGTATAGGCAAGGACTTTCTGAACAAAACTCCAATTACATAAGCAACAGCATCAAGAGTCAACAAATGGAATTATAGCACATTAAAAAAGCTTCTGCACAGCAAAGAAAAGAGCAAACAGGGTAAAGAGAAAGCCTACAGAATGGAAAAAATCCTTGCCAGCTACACTTCAAGCAGAGAACTAATCTCTAAAATACATAAAGAATTCAGAACCATTAAATCCCACCCTGAAACAATGGGCGACGGACACAGACATTTCTCAGGAGAACAAATGACTGATAACACGTGAAAAGGTATTCAACATCTCTGGTCGTCAAGAAATATAAATTAAAACAGCCCTGGAAATCAACTATGGACATGGAGGCACTTAAAAAGCTAACGCCGAAGTCCATTTGACCCAGATATTCTATCTTTAGGTATCTTCCCCAAAGAGTTCAAGACATCATATTATAGTGAGACGAGCATACCCATATTTATAGCAGCACAGTTCACAATAGCTAGGTCTTGGAAACATCCTACATGTCAATTTGCAGATGGGTAAATAAACAGAATGTGGTATTTATGTACAATGGAGTACTACTTAGCATACAGAAGGATAAATTTGGGTCATCTGTAGAAAAATGAGCGTTCCCAAGAGCCACAATGTTAAATGAAATACATTGACTCACAAACTGAAATATTACACATTTTGTTTTATATAAGAAACCTAAAATGTAAATACATTAAAAAGTAAAATAAAAGATAGATAATAGGGCAAAAAAGAGAAAGGGACCTAGAGGGAGGGGCAGGGAGGCAGGGATAGAAAAGTTATGGCATCTTGTGTCCACGTGTTAACTCCCCACCACGAATGTAATCATAATGTACTGCAAACATATACTAATCAAAATGGCTTTAGAATCTTTCTTCTCCGCATTCCTCTCTCTTTGCTTCTTCCTTTATTCCCAGCTTGCTCTCAACGCTCCGTCTCTTCTCTCTCCATCACACTCCAGACAGAGATGGAAAGTTAGAACCAGGCCTCGTACTGTGGCGAAAGGACCGTGTGAGACAGGCGTTAGAGTCAGACTCACAGAAGGACGCTAGAAAGCATGACAAACACCAAACAAACGCACACCACACAGCCCGAGGTCTCCCGTGAAGACCTGGCCAGCAGCGCCTTGGTGAGGGGGAGTTAGGAGGTGACCAGAAGGCAGCCAGGTGCAAGTGACCACACTGAGCCGTGCGCAGGTGTCGCCTGGAGGCCCAGCGCTCAGGGGACTGAAGCCCTGGGATGCTGCAACCCAGGCTCTCGGCCAGCCCGAGCAGAGAGGCAGCCCAGGGAAACCTACATTTAAAAAGTTATAATAAAACAATTAAGAAAAAACAAGAATAGAAATAAAGCATACAGGTTGAAATCTCAAGTTTTCAGAAATAAAATAGTCCTATTAATAATATTCTTCTATTGCATCTTTTACTGCAGCTACAGAAATAACTCAGAAGATCCAGAAAGGAACTAAATTATACTGCTTGAAAACAGAACAGTCAGACTGACCCAAACTGCGCTGGAATGAGTGAAGAGATGACTGCAGCAAGACAAAACAGTCATTACTCTTCCACAGAAACCCTCAGGTCCTATGAAAGGTAGACAGCGGGCTATGCACTGTGGTCTGACCAAAACTTGGTGAAGTGTGAACATTTTGGGTACTCTGAGGCTCACCACGAGGTGTAAGCACGTCTGGGGACCCCGGCAGTGTGACTGGGGTGGATGTCTTGGCCTCCTAACCTTCCACAGCACGCACTGCAGACAGGCATCAGACTGTAGCGCCTCGCCAGGCTCTCACCCAGGGTCCCATCCCCTCACCACACACTCCTCGCACGGGTACCTCCTGCACAAGTCGGTGACGGCCTCCAGCACACCAGCTGGGATGTAGTGTCCAGTCCCGCAGAAGGAGCTCCTGCTGCTCTCTGTCCCCAGCCCACAGACAGGAATGTCCCTCACCCCTCAGAACTGAGGCGGGCAGAGGCGATTTCTCAGAATCACATTTTAAAAACTGCATCTGTTATAGGAAAATAAGTGGCTTGCTCTCTTCCATGTCCGGATCAAACCTGTGTCCGCCTGTGTCTAGACAAGCACTCCGCCTCTGCGGCCACTTCCAGCCGCGCCCTTTCCTTGGATGTAGCTGACCCTCCCCGCACCACACGAGGCCCGCTGTGTGTTTTATTTTAGGTTTGCAGTACTAACTACATTCATGGGGCGCGTGCTTATAACACCTTAATTCCTTCCTCATCCCCTGCCCCTGCCCTTCCTCCCTGCTCTTCCTTTCTGTCCCCTCCCGATGTGAAAAGCTGCATTTCCATTTTTTCAGTTCTTTCTAAAATCGCCTACCTCTCCCTTCCTCCTCCTCCCTCCATCTCTTTGAAAAATGTCCCCCCACTTCCTGGTATATATTTTTTTCTCTTTATTTATATTTTGGGTTTCTCATTATAAGAAAAACCATGTGATACCTAAGTTGGTGTGTCTGATTTATTTCACTTAATATCATGGTCTCAAGGGGCATCCATTTTCCCACATATGCCTCAAGTTTATCCTTCTTTACGATACAGTTGTACTCCATTGTGCATAAATTCCACATTTTTTTATCCATTCATTTGCTGATGGGCATATAGGGCATTTCCAGACGTGGTTATTATAAATCTGTGCTGCTATAAACATGGGTGTACAGGTATCATTGTGCCACAATGATTTTTATCCTTTTGGAGAAACATTTAATCTACTGTGAGATTAAATAGGTCAAGCTTTTGAAAACACAGGTGGAGACAAGCACTTTATGAACAGAACCCCTACGGTACAAGAAATAGTACAGAGAATCAACAAACAAGGTCACAACAAATTAAAAAGCCTCTACACAGCAAAGGAAGCCACCTACAGAGTGAAGAGACGGCCTACAAAATGGGAAAAACTTTCACCAGTTACTCCTCTAACAGCAAACTAACATCTAGAGTATATAAAGAATTGAAAAAAATTAGACTCCCTGATATAAAAGACCCAAACAACGGCCAACTGAAACAGACACTTCTCAGAAGTATAAATGGCCAATCAATACATGAAAAAATGTTCAACATAGCTAGCCATTACAAAAATGTGAATCAAAACAACACTGCCCCAAAATAATTCCTAATCATTAAGAAATCAAGTAATAATAAGTGCTGATGAGTCCACGGAGGAAAAGGAACCTTCCTATACTATTGGTAGCTATGTAAACCAGTACAATCACTATGGTAATCAGTGTGGAGAGTCCCAAAAGAAACTTGTTCCAGTCAGGGATTGCAAGGAAGACAATTACATTACAGGACACACAATTTAAGGTAATATTTTATCATAGTCACCCAAAGAGTGAAAGCCCTCTCTCCAGGGATTCCAACAGCTCAGACTTGGCTGTTGCTGTAGGCAGGGGTTTGCAAGGAGAACAAGAACATCCAGGACACATAATTTACAGAATTATTTTACAACAGTCACCAAAAAGTTAAATACAAGAAGTGCATGAAATCTGTCCACACACCAAGGGATCCAGCTGAGGGCCTGGATCCCACAGCAATGTCCTGGATGCACCCAGCTGAAGACCAAGGGCCCATGGCAATGCCCCATGCAAGTCTGTTTCACGGATTTGAGCTGGGAAAGCCCAAAGGTCAGCGTTGGAAGCTAGAAAGCCTGTGCCAGCGGATGAAGGAGCTGTGACTGCAGGATGCGGGTTCTGCCCTGGAGCCAGGAAGCCATCCTGAAAGAAAGGACCAGGGTGCTCACTTGGCCAGCACATATACTAAAACTGGAATGATACAAAGACTAGCATGACTTCTGCACAAGGATGACACACAAATTTGTGAAGCCTTTTATGTTTTTTTAGATGCAGAAAAAGCTACTGCCAAAATCCAACACTCATTCATGTTAAAAAAAAAAAAAACAATGGAAATTTGGAACAGATGGTCTTCAACAGCCAACATCTTACTAAATGGACAGAAACTGAAATCTTTCTACATAAAATCAGGAGCAAGACAAAGATGTCCATTATCGCCACTCTTATTCAATACAGTTCTGGAAACATTAGCTAGAGCAATTAGACAAGAGAGAGAAATAAAAGGAATAAGGATAGGAAAGAAAGAAGTTAAACTATCATCATTGCAGATGATTACATAGATGATCCACAAAACTCCATTGTAAGACTTCTAGATGTAAATAACCAAATTCAGTAATGTAGCTGGATACAAAGTCAACACTCAAAAATTAGTAGCATTCCCGTACACAAACAACAAAACTCACTGAGAGAGAAATAAGGGAAACCATGCCTTTCACTATAGCAACCAAAAAAAAAAAAAATGAAATACTTAGGAATCAATCTAACAAAGGAAGTAAAAAAAATCTATACATTGAAAATTACATTACTCTGAAAAAAGAAATCAAAGAGGATTTCAGAAAATGGAAAGACATTCCTTGTTCATGGATAGGAAGAACAAACATTGTGAAAATGGTTACTCTTCTAAAAGTGTTATACAGATTTAATTCAATTCCAATCAAAATAACATTTGCATATCTCACAGATCTGCAGAAATCATTCCTAAAATTCATTTGGAATCAGAATAGATCTAGAATAGCAGAGGCAGTATTCAGCAACAAATGCAAGGCACAGGACATCACAATCCCTGACTTGAAGTTATACTACAAAGCTGTTGTGATTAAAATCAACATGGTATTGGCAAAAAAAAAAAAAAAAAAAAAAAAAAAAAAACAAAAAAAACCCAGACCTGAAGATCATTGGAATAGAATACAAGATGCAACTCCAAACACACTAAACCACCTTATCTTTGACAAAGAAGCCAAAATGTCCACTGGAAGAAAGATAATCTCTCTAATAAGTGGTGCTGCAAAAACTGGCTTTCCACATGCCAAAGACCCATGTCTACTACTGTGCACTAAACTAAAGTTAAAAATGGATCAAAAATCTAAATATTAAAACACAAACACTAGCCTGGGGATTTAGCTCAGTGGCATAAGTGCCTGCCTGGCAAGTGCAAGGTCATGAGTTCAATCCCTGCACCAAAATAAATAAATAAAACAAAATAGAAACACTAAATATAATGGAAGAGAAAATAGGCAGAAATCTTGAAGACACAGGTGTAGGCCGAGAGTTCATGAACAAAAATCAAACTACATGGGAAACACTTCCCAGAATCAACAACTGGGATCTTGTCTTATTAGAAAGTTTCTGCATGTCAAAAGAAATCTCCAACAGAGTGAAAAGAAAACCCATGAATTAGGAAAATATCTTAGCCAACTGTCACTCAAAGTACTTCTATCTAGAATATATAAAGAATTTTTAAAAATCAGCCCGCAAAATTCAAAGACCCAATCCAAAAATGGGCATCTGAGATGAATATGCATTTCTCTGAAGAAACACAAATGGCAAATAAATACATGAAAAAATGTTCAGCAGCACTAGTCAATTGAGAAATGCATATTAAAACAACACTGAGATTCCATCTCACTCTAAAATCAAGAAATCAATCAATAACAAATGCTGAAGGGGCTGTAGGGGAAAAGGAACTCTTCTGCACGTTGGTGGGAGTGTAGACTGGTGCAACCACTGCAGAAATCAGTGTGGAGGGTCCTCAAAAACAGCTAAGATTAGAGGTTCCATTTTTCCCGGCTATCCTGCTCTGGGCATATTCCCAGAGAACTAAAAACATCATACCACAGTGATATATGTGCACCCATGTTTATAGTAGCACACTTTGTAATAGCCAGATCTTGGAAACAACCCAAGTGTCCATCAATCTAAGAATAAATAAAAAAGATGTTGTATTTTTATACTGTTGAGTACTACTTCAAGAAAGATTGCATTAAGGCTTTTATGAGTAAATGGACATGACTTGAGCCATACTCTTAAGTGAAATAAATCAAATTCACATGTGTAAATACCATATTGTCTCCCTAGTGTAAGAAACTGAAAGAGCAAATATGATCCAAATATCTACAATAAAAATTATGTAAGGGTAAGAAACTACTCAGAGGAATATTTACTGGGATAGGAGGAAGGAGGAAAAAAGGAAAAGAAAAGGAAAAAGTCATAAATTTGTGTATATTTATACATAAGATAGCTAAGATGATTCTACTAATTAGATATTACTAATTCTATTACTTCTTGGAAAAGTTAATACTCATACAATTAGATCAATTTTGCGTATCTATATCTGGTAATCTAAGCAACTCTTTTGAAGGTAACAATATGCAATATTACAACCATTGTCACATTCCTATCATCTTGTTTTGAAAGCCTATACTGTTATTGTTTGGGGTTTGTGGTTGTTGTTAGTATGTCTATTTTGCTTTTTGTTTTTCTTTTCTGTGTCTGTTTTTTCTCTTCAATAAATAAAAAGAAAGTAAGGCTCCCCCCAAAAGTACCACAGCCATCCTCAGCTATGAGGAGGTCCCAAGCTCCTCCAACAATGAGAACAGCTGAGTTCATATCAGAAGCCAGAGTGATAAGTTTCTCCAAGAGACTGAACAGCACACATCTCCCCTCCGGAGCTAAGAAGCCATGCTCAGAGTGAAGACCACAGCCATTCTCAGAGACCACGAGGTCCTGAGCTCCTCTGACAATGAGAACAGCCAAGTTCACATCAGGAAAGAAGCTTGACAAGCTCCTTCAGGAGAGCCAAAGGCAACAGGAGAACCAACAACACTAAACTCTTTCTCCCCAGGTCTCCTTCAGGTGGGCCATCCAGTCAGCACCTTGCTGATTCAGTTCAGCTGGTGTTTTACAAGCTGACCACCAGTTATCAATCCACCACAAAACTAAAGCAAGAAATCCCATTTGCTGCTGTTTTTAAGAGCTAGTCACCTCTGTCAGGCATGGCACATAGCTGTAATCCCAGCACTCAAGAGGCTGACAGAGAAGAATTTCTTTTTTTTTTTTTGTCTTTTTCCTTTTTATCGGTAGTGGGGATCGAACTCATGACTGCCTGCTTGCAAGGCAGGCACTTATGCCGCTGAGCTAAATCCCCAGCCCCCAGAGAAGAATTTCTGTGAGTTTGAAGCCAGCCTGGCCTTACAGCGAATTCAAAACCAGTGTAAACTACACAGCTTAAAAAAAAAAAAAAAAGTTGCCTTTATTGCATCTTGATGGGGAAAAGATAAATTTAATAAGTGGTCTTTGAGATACAAGGAAGCTTCATTCCAAAATAAATTCAATGAATCAAAGATCTAAATGCATAAAAAGAAATCCAAAGGTACTAGAAAAATGTGGGAAGGATGACCATTAAATACAATGGATTAGCCAGGTGTGGTGCATGACTGTAATCCCAGTCCTCAGGAGACTGAAGCAGGAGGATCACCGTGAGTTTGAGGCCAGCCTAGGCTGCATAAGTGAATTCAAGGCCAGCATGCACTACATAATGAGAGCCTGTCTAAAAAAAAAAAAAAAAAAAAAAAAATTGACCAATATGCTTTTATCTTCTCTCCCTTCTGATAAGCTAAAACCTGCCTTCTAGAGATGTACCTACATCCTAATCCCCAGAGTCTGCTAATGTTATTTTATAAGATTTTGCAGATATGGTTCAGTTAAGGATCTTGGGGTAGTAAGATAATCCTGGAATGGACTCTCAGTGCAATCATAAGAATCCTCAAGAGGAAGGAATTAGAATAGATTTGACCCAGACCTAGAGAGGAGGCAAAGTGGCCATGGAGACAGAAACTGGAGTGATATCACATACCAAGAACTCCAGCAATCTCAGAAGCGGCAAGCGGGAAGGCCATGACTTCCCCTCAGCGTTGCAGGGAATGTTGCTTGTTAGTACCTGCATTTGAAGGTCATGAAACTGATTGCAGGCTTCTGCTTTACAGAACTATGACACAATAAATTTCTGTTGCTTTACACCACTAATTCTGTGATCACTTGTACAGCAGCCCTGGGAATCTATTATGCTGCCCAAGCCACCCACCACCTACTGAAGCAACAGTTAAGGGTGGGGAAAATCATGTAATTCATGATAAATGATAAAATATAATCTTGATAGATATTTGGAAGACGGAAAATGAATGAAAATCAACTCACTTATAGCAAAAATAATTGGGAACCAAGTGCTGGAGAAGGGGAGGTGAAGAAGACATGGGTCAGTTCGAGGGCAAACACGGGCTCACCAAGACGACACGATTATGGTGTACTACTTGGTCTGGGGGTGAACAGTGTTGGTAGACGCACTAACATAAACACAAGTTTTTACTTAATATTTGATATAACCACTTTGGAAAACATGAGGGAAGTTGTGGGGAGGGTTTTGGAGTTTGATAAGATGTCAAAAGCCTCAATAATTTACTTTCTAGGGTCATAGTACATATGTGTATTTTACACATGAGCAAAGACTGATGTACAGTCATTACATCACTAAATAGCAGAAACTGAGGCTAAATATCTATGAGTTGAAGACTAAACAGATCATAGTTAAGTGGACTATAATGCTGAAAACACAATAAAACAAAAGCCAAGACTCACGGGTCAAGAATGCTGTAACTGTGGAGAAAAAAAAATGAATGTACAAATCATACATCCATACAAGCATTAGCCTTGAATTCAGTGTCTGCACAGATTATTTCAGGAAGGATTTGTTCTGTGGAGAATTGTGGCCCGAGTAAGTAGGGAACCTACTTACCATAGATCATTTTGTCATTTAAATTTTATACTAGTGAATGTATTATCTATGTATTCAAATGAATAATTTTTGAAGAAAAAACAACTTGGTAAGAGAAAAACAAATGTAGAATTAATCACCTTCATATCTCAGTTTAACAAATCAATCATCTTAAAATGTCATTTCAGGCCGGGAGTGGTGGCTCATGCCTGTAATCCC